AAGGAATGCGCGTCGGAGTGGTTTCTTAGAGAACATCATGCTTAAATTACCTGTTCTGTTTTTTGTCTTAGATAAAGTTATTGATTGTGTCTAGTTCTAAGAATTTTTGTAAAATTCAACCAATCCTCTGGGACAGCCAGAGGATTGGTTGAAATACGAGGAAAGGTTGGCAAGGGGTGTCCTGTGTTGTCCAGGGAAAGAAAGGTCAGGAGGAAGATGACTCTACAGTATATAAGCAGGTCTGGAAGAAGCCATGGCACAGGGACACAGACTCTGCTGTCTCAAGCAATTTTCGGGCTAGCTTCCTCATAAGCACACCTAGGGTCACCCTTGCTTCTCTTTCCAGAACAGGGTAAAGGCCATTCTGATTTTCAGATTCCTTTAATCCCATGTCACTTGCAGAGCCCCAGATCATGTTGAGGGTGGTCTTCCTTCTGGATTCCTCTCTTTTTCCCAACTTCATCCTTGGTGTCCCTTGCCTCTTTGCTAATAACTAAGATTCTATAATTGGGCACCGAACCTTTCATTCCACAACCAGAGATAAAATGAAAAATGCACTTTTTTGGTTGAAGTAGCAACCCAGGTGAAGCGCAGTCGGTCAGCAAGTGTAAAGGAAAGTGGCTGGATCCTTTTAGTTTTACCAGACAGGAAAGGTTGAAGCGAGTCACAAGGCAGGAGCTGTACACTCCAGTAACCACAAGCAGCTTGTAAATGGCATTAATAAGCGTAAGGACGTAAGGAAAAAGTAGATGCAAAAGAACAAAAAAGAACAGTCACTGCTCAGTGAGAGATGATTTTTGACCTCTGGGAAGGTGGACCCAGTGTTGCCTGAATTTCTGATTTTTTTAAATTGACAAATAATGATTATACATATTCATGAGGTATATAGTGATATTTCAATACATAAAAATGTGCAATGATCAGATCAGGGTAATTAGCATATCATCTCAAACATGTGTTTTTTCTTTGTATTGGGAACATTTTAAACTTCTGCCTTTTTAAAAGAGAAGGTAGAAATTTTAAAATGTTAGCAATCAGAAGAGTTTTATAACAACTTACAGGCCAAATAAAACACATCCACAAGCTAGATGGTCTGTGGGTGCTATTGATGATCTCTGCTCTGGAAGCATTTGTCTGAATTGGTGGAAGGGACATGGGAACACATACCTTCCTGGGAGCCCACTAGTATACATGACGCAGACACAGAGACACATCAATTTGGGAAGGTGGCTGATAACCAAGGGCTGCCAAATTTTCAAATGTCTCAGGCTGGGTAAAACTCTTGGGAATTTTGAAAAGGATATTTCATTTCCATGTCATCATGGTTGTAACATGCTCTTTAAAGTGCCCAGTTAAATATTCTCCCCAAAGAACAATTTATTCCCCCATGAGGTACCCACAATCTTAAATAATATAGTTGGTCTGTAACCCAGAAATTCTTTTTTGAATATATTTAGAAGACAATTATTGGTACTATGCCATGGATATACTTGTGTTTTTTTCTTTGTTCTATTTTCTTATATTTATTCAAAGGTATATTTCTGGTGGAGCGATTAGCATGTTATAATTATTATTATAAGTAATAGGCATAGTTCTCCACAATTGACTCTTGAGTGATTCTACCACGGACATGTTGAAATTCCAATGAGCTTCATTTTTTTCCTCAGAAGTATCTTTTGCACTGTGTTTTTCATAACACATTCCATGTGCCACAGTAGGGTGAACACATTCTTTCACTGAAATTGCACTTATTCACATATGCAACTAACCTTCTTAGAAACATCTTTTTTACATGTGTCTTTACAGAGTGCATTCCATTGGAGCACCACAGTGTTCCAATGACCAGTGAGTGCTGGTTTTCCATCAATATCCATGGTTTTCTCTCTCAATGTATTTCCCAATTTTTATCTGGGCACAAGGCTGCCAAGGTAAAGACTACATTCTTCACCCTCCTTACAGATAAATGTTGTATGACTGGTACTGACCAATGGTATATGAGAAATGATGTGGACAACATTGAATGTCCTTCAGGGAAGAGATTATGCCCTTTATTTCATCCCATTGCTTGAAACATGATCAAGATGACAAACCACCTTAGATCATGCAGAAGGCAGTACAACATGAGAGAAGGAACCTGGTTCCTGGATGGCCTAATGGAGCAGAGATTCCCCACTGCCCTTGACTGTCTACCTCCATACTGTTACATGAGAGAGAAACAAACTCTATCTTGACTGGTCGCTCTCACTTAAGTCTCTGTTACATCAACTAAAACTACATCCCAAGTAAACCTATATCTTAACCTTTGCAAGACATGCTATTGCATTGAGATTATGTAAAGGGAGATGGGGAGAAAACATGGAACTATATAAAAATGAAATGGTCTATGATCTCTATTCTTCAGTTTGTAAAATAGTTTTCAAAATTTTCTTTATTTTTTATTTTTTTGAGTTGGAATCTCACTCTGTCACCCAGGCTGGAGTGCATTGGCACGCTCATGGCCACCACAGCCTCCATCTGCTGGGCTCAGGGGATCCTTCCGCTTCAGCCTTCCAAGTAACTGGAACTCTAGGCACGTGCCACCACACCCAGCTTTTATGATTTATTGTAGAGACGAGGTCTTGCCATGTTGCCCAGGCTGGTCTCGAACCTATAGGCTTTGGCAATCCTTTCGCCTCCACCTCCCAAAGTGCTGGGATTACAGACATGAGCCACCCGGCTTCAAAATTCAATTTTAAACTAATATAAGTACTAAAATAAATATAAAACTAATCACATAGTTTATATTAGCATCAAATATCAGGATGACTTGATGTCATTTTTCTAGTTTATTTTTTCATTCTCAGTAGTTATTTAGCAAATGCTTATTAAAGAGCAGAGTTCTGTGATGGACACTTAAGTGAATTAAAAAATACTTTCTCTTTCTAAGGAGATTACAGTATAATTGTGGAGATAAGATGTTTGTTAAAAGGTGGCATGTTATAAGTGCCATGGAAAAGGTCCCAAGGTAGACATGTTGGCACTCCTTGTCACCTTTGGGCTTTCATGACCAAGAGGTTGTTTGAGCAGACTTTTTTTTTTTTTTTTAGTCGGAGTCTCACTCTGTCGCCCAGACTGGAGTGCGGTGGCCGCTCCCAGCCACCACAGCCTCGACCTGCTGGGCTCCGGCGATCCTTTCGCCTCAGCCTTCCAAGTAATTGGAACTACAGGCGTGCACTACCATGCCTGGCTAATTTTTTTGATTTATTGTAGAGATGAGGTCTTGCCAAGTTGCCCAGGCGGGTCTCGAACCCGTGGGCTCAGGCAATCCGCTCACCTTGGCCTCCCAAATTGCTGGGATTATAGACTGAGCAACTGAGCCGGGCCTTGAGCAGACTCTTATTTGATTACAGTTCCAAAGAATATTACATTGCTAAGAATATAGATATTTTTGTTATTGGATAGTTTGTAACTGTTCTTCCAGATTCTGTCCATAAGCACATAAAAATTTTCTTTACTTTCTCATCTTACTCTCAAACATATTTTACTGAGATGGTGTTTTTATTATGATATATATATATATTTTTTTGGAGTTGGAGTCTCACTCTGTCACCCAGACTGGAGTGCAGTGGCCGCTCCCAGCCACCACAGCCTCGACCTGCTGGGTTCTGGCGATCCTTCCGCCTCAGCCTTCCAAGTAGCTGGAACTATAGGCATGCGCTACCACGCCCGGCTCATTTTTTGATTTATTGTAGAGATGAGGTCTCGCCAAGTTGCCCAGGCGGGTCTCAAACCCACGGGCTCAGTCAATCCACTCACCTCAGCCTCCCAAAGGCGCGAGATTACAGGCTGAGCCACCAAAGCCGGCTTATTATGATCTTTTAATACATTTATCACTGGGTCTTCAGATTTCCTCATTATTAATAATGAGATAAAATAATGATGATAAAATATTTTCTTAGATTGCAAATATTCTGATAAATTATTATCAAAAATTCTTTATTTTATTTTTATTTTGAAGATGTGGGGTACAATTCAGTGTTAGGTACACAAATGTTCATTTTGCAGGTACCCTTGTTGAAGAGGTATGCCCTGCCTCCCCTGGCAGTTTCCCTCATCTGCCAATCCCACCTGCCCTCCCCTGGCAGTTTCCCACTACTGCCAATCCCTTTCTTATAGTGTTATGATAATTGTTCAAGGACTGCTTATGAGTGAGAACATATGGTACTCCCTTCTTTGTTTCTGTGATAGATGACTCTACAGTATGATGGACTCTTAGAGTATGTTGGACTCTAAATCCATCGAAGTTGCTGCAAAGTTCATATGTTTATTCTTCTTTGTGGCTGCATCATATTCTATTGTATATATGTACCACATTTTTTTTTATCCAGTACAGCTTTGATGGGCAGCATGGTTGGCTCCATATTTTTGCTATTGTGAATAGCATGTGTGTGCAGGTATCTTTTTTGTAGAGTGGTTTGAGTTCCCCTGGATATATTCCCAATAGGGGGATTGCTGGGTCATATGGAAGGTCAGTTTCTAGTTCTTTCAGAAATCGCCACACAGTCGTCCAAAGAGGTTGCACTAGTTTGCATTCCCACCAGCAGCGGTCCTTTTTCTCTGCATAGTCACCAGCATCTGTTGTTGTTTGTTTTATTAATGATTCTTGACTTATTAGGCAAACAGTGTTCCCTTTTGACTACTGGGTCTTATAAAAGATTTTCTAAGACAGTAGACACACTTTAAATCTCTGCTAAGAATTAGATTGTATATAGTTATATATTATCATATCTACTTATATCTAAATATTTATGTCATATTATTATCATATTCAACTGTATACATTATATGTAGTTCAAAGAAACTATCCTGTGTTTCCTTAAGGGTAAACTGTGTGCTTTTTATGATCTATTTTGTAGACTTATGGTTTTTTAAAAGTGATTAGATCCACTTGAGTATTTCATGGCAGTTTTATAAGATTTAAGTTTTAGTTTTATGCGTCTTCTTTATCCTGTCTGATTCAGGTTGAATACGAAGGCTTAAAGCATGAGATTAAGCGATTTGAGGAGGAAACGGTACTACTGAACAGCCAGCTGGAAGATGCTATCCGATTAAAAGAGATCGCTGAGCACCAACTGGAAGAAGCCCTTGAGACCTTAAAAAATGAAAGGGAGCAGAAGAACAGCTTGCGGAAGGAGCTCTCACAGTACATCACCCTCAACGATAACCATATCAGCATCTCAGTAGATGGACTCAAGTTTGCCGAGGATGGGAGTGAACCAAACAATGATGACAAAATGAATGGGCATATCCATGGGCCTCTTGTGAAACTGAATGGAGACTACCGAACGCCCACCTTAAGGAAAGCAGAGTCTCTGAACCCTGTCTCTGACTTATTCAGTGAGCTGAACATTTCAGAAATACAGAAATTGAAGCAGCAGCTCATGCAGGTAAGAACTCTGTTGAGGACTGCTAGAGGGCATTTCTTGTAGATTGCATGTAGCGTATTGTGGGACTTCTCATTCTCACGTTTTAGTTCCTGATTTTCTTTTGCATATTACTTCTTCAACTAGATACTTTGAAAGCACAATATTTTAGAAAGACATGACAGAAGGGGTGTTGAAGAGAACTCTCTAATTTGCATAACTTTAAGAGACAAATTTCTTAGAACCACAAATTAGATGAGGTCTGAGAAAAGAAAGTCTTGATGCATTTCTAACAAAGACATTCGTAAGCTTCATAAACAAGTGAAATGACAGAAAATGTGTTTTCTACCAAAAGCAACTGTGCATCTATATATTATACGTTTATACACACTTCTTCCAGGTTAAAGATTACATTTCCAGGACTACCTTAAGCCTTAAAAACAAAGAACTTCCTGTATACAAATTAGCCAGGGTACCATGTGATTAAAAATACGGAATAGGTATAAATCTGAAACCAAGGAGTGTTATTCCAACATGTGCTAAGCCTTAAAGTTTTAGCATCTTCAAATCAAATGTCTAGTGAAGGGTCCCAGCCTTTAGCTTTCTCTCACTGACCAATAGCTTTCTAGTTTAGGGTCTTGCCTCCCTGCCACAGCTAGTAGAAATGTTTGAGGAACAGCAGCATCCTCATCACCTAGTGGCTTATTTCTGCTGCAATTTGTTGAACTCCACATAGATTGACTGAATCAGAAATCTGGCTTAACAGGATTGTTAGGTGATTAAATTTGAGGCTTAGTCTTCAATCTCCATCTTATCCCTCCAAGATTCTTCATATGTAGCTGATAATTAGAGCCTGTTAAGACTCTGGTAATCACTTATTTTCATAGAAAACAAATCTTCTGCCTCCACAAAAGTGATGACTAGAAAATGAATGACAGAAATAAGCCAGTGAAGTTAATTTGCTCATAGGTTTGTTGTTAATACAACATCAAGAGTTGACGTAGCCTGCACTTTACCTGCCAGTGCTTTTGACTGCTAAAAGAGAATTCATTCTCCCACTACTTGAGTCAAGATAAGAGGACATGACCACTGCAAGAAAATGGATATAGACTTTCACCTGACCACAAAGTCCAGTTTGTGTAGGTAATACTTTTCTCTGTTTTTTTGCTCCAACACTAGGTTGATAGAAATAGAAAACATATTTCTGGTCAGGCGTGGTGGCTTACACCTGTAATCCCAGCACTTTGGAAGGTGGAGGCGAGAGGATTGCCCGAGTTCAGGGGTTCGAGAACAGCCAGGGCAGCTTGGCGAGATGTCGTCTCTACAATAAAAATTAAAATTTTTCTTTTAGGCCGGGCTTGGTGGCTCAGCCTGTAATCCTGCGCTTTGGGAGGCCGAGGTGAGTGAATTGCCTGAGCCCGCAGGTTCGAGACCCACCTGGGCAACTTGGCGAGACCTCATCTCTACAGTAAATCAAAAAAATTAGATGGGCGTGGTAGCGCGCGCCTGTAGTTCCAGCTACTTGAAAGGCTGAGATGGAAAGATCACCGGAGCCCAGCAGGTCGAGGCTGCGGTGGCCACTGCACTCTAGTCTCGGCGACTGAGTGAGACTCCAACTCAAAAAATAAATAAATTAAATAAATAAATAAAAATTTTTCTTTTAAATTAGCCAGCCATGGTGGCGCACACCTGTGGTTCCAGGTACTTAGAAGGCTAAAGCAGAAGCTCAGCAGGTCAAGGCTGTATGACAGAGTGAGACTCCAACTAAAACAAACGAACACAAACAAAACAAAAACATATTTCCTTGTAAAAAAATTTACATAGCCGGGCGTGGTAGCGCACACCTGTAGTTCCAGCTACTTGGGAGGCTGAGGCAGAAGGATCTCCAGAGCCCAGGAGGTCGAGGCTGCGGTGGCCAGGAGCGGCCACTGCACTGCAGTCCGGGCGACAGAGTGAGACTCCAATTTAAAAAAAAAAAAATTAACGTTATAGATATATTCATAAGAATTTGTACCCCCAGACTGAATAGTATTAAATAGAAGTAATATCCATTTCTTTAAGTATAATATTGGTGGCTTTGGGATAAAAAGTTAGTGGGTTGAGGCTTTTTGTTTCTTCTTTTTATTTTGGTGGCAGTACGGAAAGTATTAGAAAGATAGGATTTTATGTGCAAAACAGCACAACAATTTCCAATCAGGTTATCTATTAGCCAAAAGCTCAGAGCAGTTCTCAGATTTAATTTAAATGTGATCTGAATTGGATCATGCAAAAATCTAAAAAAAAAAAAAGAGAGAGAGAGATGTTCAAGGAAAAGAGTGGTGGAGAACAAGTAAGTTCTCAGCAAGAGAGTGGCTCTCAACAAGAGTTCTCAACAGTGTCATTTGCCCTTGGAGTGAGACCTCTTTGAGACCGTCTCCCTTCTGAGCTATAGATTTCACATCTCTGGTCCCAGTTCAGGACATGCTTGTTATATTTGCTCATTTGAAGTGTTGACCAGAAATGCCCCATGTGTTTCAGCTGCTCTAAGGGTCAGCCACTAATTGACAGTAATTTTTAGAAAGACAACACTTTACTCTTCGATAAAATGAGCTATATAGTGCCTTCCTCATTAGAATGACATGAAGATCTATGACCGTGTATTTCAAGTGCTTAGAACAGGGCCTAGCGCATAGTAAATGCTCAGTAAATATACACTATTATCATTGTTTCAACGCCATAGAACATTTAATTTATAAAGCACTCACTTTATTTAGCTATTATTATTAACTGTTATTTTTGGACTATTAGGTCAAGGATAGTCATTTCAGAAGGGACTGATGTGAGCCAAAAGCTCAGAGCAGTTCTCAGATTTAATTTAAATGTGAATCAAAAGCTCAGAGCAGTTCTCAGATTTTTCCTACAATACAGAAAACTAACGGTTAAGTCTCATGGTGCGAGAAGATCTGAAAAGGGACATTCACTTAGCAAAATGTTAGGATGAGAAAAACTGCTGGATAAACCTCCCCCCTTAATATACCAGAAAGCTGTGTACCTTCAAATCTTTTGTCAGTGCTTAATTAACACTGACAGTTTTCAAAGATGTAAGGGGGCACTGGCAAGGTCTTATATCTCAAATTTTGCTCCAATTTAGTTGTGAGAACCAGGCTCAACACAGGAAGGGATTGCAACTTCCAACCTTTTAGCAACAACGCTTAACTTTTAATTTTTATTTTAGGCAGAGTAACTACCTAGCTTCTTACAGTCAGCACTTTTTGAAAAGCATTATCAGCTTTTCCTAAGAATATTTTGTACTCAACTGTTGACTACAACTCTAACAGAGTATTATCTTCTCATGACTTATTTCTTTATAATCTGATAGTTTTTCCTTAGCTATGCCTCCCCTTGGTCTTAATTTATATAAATAAACAAATTATAAAAAAATTACAGGATACACTGCCCAGAATTTATTGTAATTGACTTTGATGTTAATGAGGCTTGACATTAGTATGACAGTTCTGATAAACATTCAAATAAACCATGAAGCATATACTGTGTGTAAGTACTATTGTTCTGGAGATAGTAAAACAACTTTTAAGTATGGCTATATGAAACACTTTTGGCCAGATATGTTTTGAAATTATATTTTTAGAATATAGAAATGTAATATGCAGCATATACCATATATATATAGTGATATCCCCGATGGGGTCAGGTGCAACACCCCATGATCAAATATATAATATTTACATTTCTATAGTGAAACGCGTATTCACAGTGAGAAAAAAATAAGTACCATAAAAGGAAAAGACTCACATAATCAGGTGCAGCTTTGCTGCCTGGAAGTTCAGAACTGTCTAAATATTGCCACCAAGTGAGTTACAATAAAACTTTTCTTTGGAGCATTTTGGATTTTGAAGGGGTGGCAGTTGTAGGCATAGCAGTTGCTGTGCTGTTGGACAGGTTTCAGATCGGTACACCTCAGCTTATTGGATCAGCATACTTGGGATGGGACAGTGTGCATTTCACATTCCCTGTATCTCTTCTGATTTCTTTTGGTGTGGATCCAAAATGCCGTACCTTAGGGAAGGCTGTGTGCCTCCAAACCCAACATATGTGCTTAGCTAATGTTGACAGTTTATCAATGTAGGTGGCACAGGCAGGAATAACACCCTGAGGCCGGCAATATGCAGCATTTCAGATTTTCTTTCTTTCAATCAAGAACTCTTTTGGTAGAATCAGTTCAAGATATCTATTGTGCAACATGGTGACTATAGTTAATAACAATGTATCATACTCTTACAGATGACTAAGAGTAGATTTTAAGTGTTCTCACTGCAAACACAGTAAGTACATGAGCTGGTGCATATGTTATAATTAGCTCAATTTCTACAATGCGTATACGTATTTCAGAACATGTTGTACATGACAAATATATGTAATTATTTGTCAATTAAAATAAATTAATTCAACTATTTTTAAAAAGAATTCCGTTGAAAACAGCATATCTAGGTCATACCCTATTGGTCTTTTCTTATCTAACAAGCCTCCATTTATACATTATGTTTTCCCATCCTCTGGTTTTTCCTTAACTTGGGTTCAGGGGGCGAAAATTACGCTTCTGCCGTGCTTATGAAGAACACAGGGTGAGTTGCTTTACTTTCCTGAGGCTCTTTCATATAAGGGAAGGTAGTAAATTAGCCTCACCACCAGTGTCTACCACTGGAAATATGGGGAAAAAAAATCAGATCCTGAAAAAGGTTAATGAACCTTTCTGTAATCTCCTCCCCACATCCTTGTTCTCCCCAGGTGTTTGAAAACTCCCCAACCACAAGTTCCCTGTCTAATTGTACGCTTGCTTAACTGAAACCAGATGTTACGCCAAGAAACTGTTCTTGTGTGAAACTGTTCTTTGCACAATCCCACTGCCACACCCTCATATTTTGTTCCCTTTTGTTTTTTTAGTTCTTTGTTCTTCCACCTCATGCTATGTAGCCCACCTGCGATTTTCGCCTTTAGAAACCCCTCGCAGCCCGCGGGTTCGAGTC